TCCCCCCCCCCCCCCCCCCACACACACACTACGAGTACGTTTCACGGTCTATGTGCTGACAGTGAGTTGAGTGAGTAGTGTGCCGCTGACATCTGTTATTGCTCACCCTCGACTTTTCCAGACGAGCAGCGGTGGTAGTAGAGAGTATAATATATAACACCGCGGCAAACGTATGCCAGATATTTTTACAGTAACTCTGGTAATATTGTAACACTCTCTGCTTATACCCACTGCACACTGTAGAAAGTTTCGTCAAATCTCTGTTTGACATACACAAAGTTTTATACATATTATGGGGGCGACCTTTGGACCTTAGAAAAAAGATATTTACTACCCGCTTGGCAAAAGCTACAATTTCTTGACTCCCTCAATCTATCTTTTGTGTGGCCTACCTCTTCCTTTATAGCTAGACACAGGTAGTTCTTCCCCTTTTTTTAAAGAGGGCCCTGTTTGTTAATTTGTTCATTCGTTTTCTGAACAAGGCATGCTTGTCTCCTTGAGCTCTTCTGATAACTGCCGCCGTTTATCGTTTAAATAGATTTTTCCCCCGCGATGAAGACAATCAATTCTTGCTTAACCGAAGTAGGCAATGTGAACCACGTTTAGGCTTCGTCGTTGCTCTATAAAAAACAACAACAAAAAAACAAAACAAAAACGTGAGTTCGATTCCTATGTGGGGACATCATGCGACTTTTCCAAACTTTTCATACCTGCTTCTCGTTCTTTTCTCCCAGTTATTTCACCACTGCGTCGAATGAGATTAAAAGAGCCCTATCTGCGTTTCGTGCATATTTGGAATTATGGTATGTTGTGGGTTCTATTTGAAGCGCATTACACCGTGGTCCGTGGTTTGTTCTGAAACGACTATTCTGCTCCGAGGAAAATGCGCATGAAAAGGGTTCTATCTGCTTGTGCTTTTAAAATCCACTAACTTTGAGACCCGACATTTCAAACTTAATCGTACAATGTACTTAAAATGCAGATAGACCCTTTTAATTGTATACAGCGAGTGATGAGCATGTCGCAAGAAGCCACAACATTCCTTCGGTGACCCCGGTCTCCAAGTATGTATTGCAAACTTTTCTTCCGTTTCTTTCATCCCCGTCCATCAACAAATTTGAAAAGGATTGGCGCCCTGTTCCGTACCGTTAAAAAAAAAAAAAAAAAAAGAAAGAAAGAGAAAAAATCCCAAGTTCAACAGAATGTCGTTACGCTACAATGGTCACAAACATCGATAAGTATACACGTAGTTTGAATTTGAAAAGAAGTTGTTGCGTTTATTATGCAATAATTATAATGATAATATAATCCCACACCCTATCCCTTCTTCCCCTTTCTTACCCCGTCAGCGAAAAAACCCTCCGATATGTTTGTTCCCAATAAATAATGTAAAGTAAGGAGCGGCTTCCTTTTTTAAGCTGTAAACACAAGGGAGACAAACGACAGTTGGGGAGGATTAGACGGCAACATCAGGTAGACAAGAGTGGAGTGGAGTCGAACTCTTTACGAATGTAGCCCGGCACAATAATTAAAATGTCGACCAGCATAGCAGCAGACCACAGGCAGCGTTGTACTGCAGTAATTTTGAGCCATGATACATACCTAAATCTCAAACACGAAATTGTGCATTTCATACATGGTTATGCGGGTTATCGCCCGTCTTTTTAAAGTTTTATTATAAGATAGAGAAAGCAGAGTTGAAGGTTATGTAGGAGTATCAAATTGAGTTTGGGCTTATTATGCTTCTTTCTTAAGTTAAATGTCCCAAAACAGCGCGATTTCAAGCATCGTTATGGCAGAAAGCGCGTCCACAAATTATAGTTAAGTGTAAAAAAATGGTATAGGTTTAACGCCCCTATCAACACTATTAGGTTATTTAAGGGGCGGTAGTTAAGTGTTGCCCGTGATGATATTATGTGGCTGTCGCTAAATAAGACAACTGGATCAATAACAACAACGGTAAATAAATCATCAATCTTTGACTCTTCGTCGTAAAAGCGCACAGTTAGTATTATTTAATTGTCTCTTCACCAAGGACCTTACACACTGTATAATCCCCTTGCTCATCACACTTACCTCTGGGCACATTACTCTTTCGTACAGGTGAGTGAATTGTTATCCGCTAATAGTGGCGAATAGTCACTTGTTGCATTGGCGAATAATGAATAAACTATAACCAAACTATAACTTCGCTTAGAGAACGCTAACTGCTTGCGTGCTGTGTGAAAGTGAAAGCGCCCTGGAATCTTAACAGGCCATGTTGTGGTTTGTTTACAATGGAGCGGGGAGGAATTTTTTGATTTACGACCCGAGGGTGATAAAAGTAGATAGGTGGGCGATATGATGAATCAGCATCAGTTTGTTCCGAGTGGCAGGAAAGCTGCATAGAGTATGAGAGAAGTGTGTGTGTGTATGTGTGTGTATGTGTGTGTGTGTGTGTGTGTG